GATCCGGGGGGTTCTGACTGGTCACTGAGTGTGTATATATGTCTGTGTTTATATACTGACAATATTTATGATAATATTTATTTTATCCATTTATTTTTCAGGTGAGCGGACAAACGTTGGGTGTGTGGTCTTGTTTTTAGTTGGTGTATATTTAATATACAGTACTTCTAATCGCTATTTCAATCTTTCTATCTTTCTAATTACTTCTCTCTGTTTTTCTCTCTGTCTCTATTTTCTCTTCACTTAAAAAAAGTCACTGATGATGAAGAAATAAATAAACTAAATAAACTAGTATTTGGTTTCGTTTTCTACTGAAGTGACACAAGAAAAAAAGTTTAATATGATGAACTGATTTATTGTGACAGGCCTAATGAATGTGTGTATATTTGATAAAGTACTATATAACTTTAGACCATTTATCACGTAGCATTGTGTTAAACTGATACCTCGGCTGCTCTCCACAGGAGAAGATGCCGATTCCCTCCGTTGTGATTGAACCAGCTTCTAGTAACGAAGGTGATGATGATCGTGATGCTGACATCATTTCTCCCACGAACATCAGAGAGAACATGGTGACGAGTGAGAGCATCAAACACATGAGTGCATCAGGTGGAACATCTGGACATCCTGACGACTTTCTCTACAAGGTGCTGCTGTTTTCCAAAAAACAATCACTGCTCGTAGATTTGTTTGAGAGAACGACCGAACGTTAGTTCAAACAAACAAACAAACAAACAAACAAACAAACAAACAGCCTTTATCTGCCTGCAGGTGGAGACTATGCACGACTTTGAAGCAGCAAACTCTGATGAGCTGGACCTGAAGAGAGGAGATGTGGTTCTGGTTGTTCCCACAGCATCAGCTGAAGATCAGGTCAGAGCTTCAGGGTCATTTTTAAACTTTAATAAACATTATTAATATTTCTGTATATAAAAAGTTGTTAAGGGAAAGGATCTCTGACTGTAACCTTTTTAATACAGGATGCAGGTTGGCTCACAGGAATAAAAGAATCTGATTGGTCGACTCTTGGAGTGGGAGCACAAAGAGGACTCTTCCCTGAAAACTTTACTCAGCGTTTGCAGTAAAACGGCCTTTTCTTTCTTTAAAAAATAAAGTCTATTGAGATCTGTATGCAAATTGTCATCAGCATGTAGCCAAACTGGCTGTAGACAATAAAGAAAAAAGTCCTTGCTGCAGTTTTTGGGGTAAAGCGAACAAAAATAGGTGTTTCAGCTGATCCTTTATAAGCATGATGAGTATGTTTGACCCCCTCTGAAAATGAGATATTTAAATGTTAAAATGTGCTGAAAATTCTGAATAACATTATAAATTTCCAAGTTTCTTCTGAAACATAAAAAAACAATGTGTGTCAGAATAATTTCCTCTAAAATCCAGTAGAAATTTTATTTGTGTGAAAAATGAAAACTTTTTTCATTCATTGTTAGAAGATTTCTGTGTTAATGTTAGGAGTGTGTTATCATCAGTGTTTCATTCAGATGTGGTGAGTTCTTCCTGTGACAAGTTCTTTATGTTTAATGAAAATATATCAGTGATGTGAACATTTGTGCTCATTAATAATTAAACATCTATAAAAAGGAATTTCCTTAAATGTGAAATTGTCAGCCAAAAAAGTTCATAGTTTTCTCAAAATATTTAAAGCAATATACAACACTTGTTGTGGTTTAAAGTTCTGGACTTTGGATCGTCAGAAACCTTTCTGTTAATAAATTACACACTAAACAAAATAAACCTGTTTAAAAAGTACAAAGTGTCAATATTTGGTTTTGGTCATAGAATTTCTAAAAGACTATTGTAAAGCCGAACTTTCATTTCCATCCGTCCATGATAAATGAATTTGTGGGCTGCAAGTGTTTTTTTGTTTTGTCTCCTCCAAAACAGTGTTAGTTAAATGAACAATGAGCTGTTTGAATCTTCCCACTGGATGACATCAGACATCATTTTCTGCTTTTTAAGCCTCTTCAGTAGAAAACAGAACTGAATATTAGTTTCTTCATCATCAGTGACATTTTTAAAGAGAAGAAGCAAAAGAAAGAGAAGAAAAAGGAGAAACGTAATGGGGAAGATTGAAAGAGAGATTATACCACACCATACCACTTTTATTTATAAAGCACTTTAAACAGCACAGGGCCAACCAAAGAGCTGTGTGTGCAGTAGACAGACACAACAGAGTTAAAATACAGTTAAAATATGTAGCGTTTATATTTAAAGTACATATAGGACAGAGTTATGATTCACAGATTATAGAAGATATGTGAAATATAAAACAAGACAACACACCTGACAACTGTCTGCACACCTGTAAAAGTAGAGAAAACAAAAACAGCAACAAATAAAATGTGTATCATAATAATTATAACTTTGCTAAAATTTATACATACATACATATACCCATACATACATATACACATACATACATATA